GCCAATATGATAGTTTTCCTCAGTACTTTTTTTGTAAAAAAAAAAAAAGTGCCGGAACTCACACACATCATACAACCCGCCTTGCTTATCCTACAAGGTTCCATCCAAAAAAGGTGCTGGAACTCCGTTCTGGGCCTTCTATGACAAAAAAAGCCCTGGTTTTCCTTATCACCGATGCTATTGGGTTGGAAGCACCACAGACTCTCCATCTGATACTCATTTTATGGCTGACTGATCAGCCACAAAAGAGCATTCTCCTCCTTCCTTTTTGCCTCTTCTTTTTTTAATCATAATTGGATTATTACAATGTGCTGTACATGGAGCTGCCCTTGAAGACCATCCAGAAGCTACAGCTGATTCAAAATGCAGCAGTGGGAGTAGTAACCGGCACCTCTTGGTATGCCCATAAGAAACCACTGCTGTGCAAGCTGCATTGGCTGCCACTTGGGTTCTGAGTGCAATTCAAGGTGCTGGTTGTTATTTATAACATCCTGTAAGGCCTGGATATCTGAGAGATTGCTTATCTCCAATTGTTTCTGCTCACCAAGTATGTTCCAGCAGAGTTGGTGTGTTCCATTAAATATTGAAATCTTGTGGGACCTAGGAAGTGTGCTTTCTCTGTTGAGGCCCCCACTCTTAGGAACAGTCCCCCCCCCAGCTATAAGGACAGCACCATCCTTCTGGAGATTCCAGGAAGCTTTGAAAATCTCTCTTTGGCCCCAGAGATTCATGTTTGTTATTTAACGCTCCTTTTTAATTTTATGGCTCTTGTTATTTGAGCATGCTATTCCATGGTGTTCTTTGACTTAATATTTTTAATTATTTTTAATCCCTGCTTTAGTTTTGCGGACCCATCCAGGATCCGGTGGAATTGGGCATCCAACAAATTTAAATAAATAATAACAAGTTTGACAAAAAGAGATAGGGGAAAAAAAACACTGCAAAATATACAAAACCAAGGAAAGAAACTACATGAAAAATGATAAAGGAGAGAAAAGGGCGAACTATTGATATATGTCAAATATTAATCAAATGTCAAACAGATTTCTGAACTTTCCCTGGAGGTAAAAAAAAATTAATGATTGTCTAATATTACAAAATGTCATAAAAGCCATGCCACAGAATAACATATTGAGTAATTTTTTGATTAGTAGATAAAATTGCTTTTTCAAAGACGGATATCATACATCTCTTAAATACAATCCTCAGTATCAGGAATATTACTTACTTTTCCAATTTCTCAAAATAATTCTCTTAGCAACCTCCCCAAACACAATACTAACCATACTAGCCATAACTCTTCAACAACTGTCAAATTCCCTCATTTGTACAGAAACAACATCCTGTCTGTGCCTTCTCATAATCTGGGGCTGTTTTATTTTCATCACCTTAAGAGCGGGAGCCGTAGGTATTTTTCTTCAAGACCCCTCCCATTCCCTCCCATTAATACATAAACCCTAAGACAAAATGGCCCAACCCTTTTCATTCTCAGTGACATTACAGTGTCCCAGGAAACTCTGCTGCAGTCCTCCAGAAAGACTTAGCCAGAAATATATTGCCCTTAAGCAAGTCAAAAGAAAGAATGGATCTAGAAATCCACATTCATTTAGGCAGAACATCCATTGTAAAAAGTTCTTAATCCTTTATATGAAAATGGAGGAAATGCATGTATGATGCAGAAGGAAAAGGACAGCCAGCTTGGTAAGTGAATTTTGAAAAAAAAAAAAATTCAGATCAGAACCACAGAAATTAAATAATAGATGTAGCCTGCCTGCTGCATCATCAAATTTTAATTAGATTCTTTGCAGCTGCAGGCCTTTGATCTGAGTTAAATAAATCATAGCCATGTTTTGGGGAGGCATTTCAGGATGATTTACATGTCATGCAAAGCTCATACAAGGAGAAAAGGGAAGGTAGTTTGGAGCCAACATTATTATTATCTTGTGCTAAACCAAGGCCCTGAGGTTACCTTACCATTGAATTTATATCATGAAAAATTAATAGCTCTGTTATTCGTAAGAGCAACAAGTGTTTCTTCACTTATCTCTACTATAGTCCAGTGCTATAAGTGTTACTATACTGTAATGAATTTGGATCTTAGGTGAAACACCAAGACTGCAGGCCATTTCATTATTACATTGGGGAACTCTTTGCACTCTTGCACATGTCTCCCAGCATCTGCATGAATGAGAACAGTGCAATTCCCGTGCTGCAAATTTTCAGTTCCTCCTTGCTATGATTTTACTCTCATCTAGTGAAGATTCTCACTCTCATCTTACAGAGACATCATATCAACAGAATAACAGAGCTGGAAGGGACCTTGGAGGTCTGCTAATCCAACCCTCTGCTCAAGCAGGTGACCCTGTATCATATCAGACAAATTGCTGTCCAGTCTCTTTTTAAAAGCCTCCAGTGTTGAGCACCCACAACTTCTGAAGACAAGCCATTCCACTGGTTAATTGTTCACACTGTCAGGAATTTCTCCTTAATTCTAGGTTGCTTCTCTCCTTGATTAGTTTCCATCCATTGCTTCTTGTCCTCCTTTCATGTTGGAGTTTAGGTTCATCCCTTGGGTTGGAAATTAGGTTGACCCCCTCTTCTTTGTGGCAGCTCCTCAGATATTGGAACACTGCTACCATGTCACCCCATATCTAGACCCCTCATACCCTATAAACTGTTTAAATTTCTTCCCTCAAGACAACACTATAGGGCTATGCACACCAAAACAACTAGACATAAGGGTAGTTTCCCCCCCCCCATGCCATCACCCTGCTAAACAACTAATTCCCAAAACACTGTCAAATTACCTAGTAGGGCTATGTTACTATTATCCTTCTCATCCTTCCTATTACCTATTCCTTATCTTCTTATCACCATAACTTTGTTGCTTGCATCTTACGATTTATATTAATTGTTTTATTTAGTATTCTAGTATGATTTATATTGATTGCTTATTTAGTATCCTACTACTATCACTGTGTTGTATCTTATGATTTATGATTAATGTTTTTATTATTATAATCATAATTTATCATTTGTTACTTGTATGTACACTGAGAGCTTATGCACTGGACACAAATTCCTTATGTGTCCAATCACACTTGGCCAATAAAGAATTCTATTCTATTCTAGTCCTTCTTTTTACTAGACTAGACATACCCAATTCCTGCAACTGTTCTAAAATATTTATTAAATGTTTATTTATGTTTATAACATAAACATGTTTATGTTAGACTGACAGTTATGGATGTACAGACTTCAGCACTGATACTCAACCCTGTGCATATTTAGTGAGATATAAGCTTAATTTTGCTCAATGCCACTGGCTTTCCATGATCTGTTAGCATTTATGTATTATTGTGATTGAGGGACTCTGGAAAAGAAAACTCTGGGATAGACAAAAGTGTCAATTTTGTTTCAGCATAACTCTTCAAACTCAGATTGAATTCCAGGAGAAATCCAGAAATTCAAGAAGTCAAGGAATAGTTTGTAGGAATTTCTTCCTTAACTAAATGTGTTAGAAAGTTCAAAGGACTTTGAGGTATGAATAGGGAACTGTCAGTCTGTAAAACAAAGTTTTGAAGAATAAAATTACAACAATTTCATTATGTAATATATATAATAAACTTGAGTAAACTTTTTGGTTACTGAGACAAAATATAAAATCATAATACTGATACAACTAAGACTGTAAGTCTGATTTAGACACAGAAATGAATATAGTGAAAATATATAGATTTGGGTGAAGCTGTAGAGTAATGACTTAAAATAGATTAAAATAGCTAGCAAGATCATTTATCTAAGCTTCACAATATGCTTTTGCACTTTCCCAAATAATTAGCCCATTCCTAAGTTTAGTTCTGTTTGTCAAATGGCTATTATATAGGATAGCATGCCTTTTTTTATATGAATCAGTTCTGAGGAGGGTGGTGTTTTGAGTCCATGTGTGTGTATGTGTTTTTTCCTCAGAAAAAAAAATTCCCAGAAGAAAAGTTTGAAAAGAAAGCTAAAAGTTTACTTGTTAAATATAGAACATTGACATATATTTTGAATGAGAAAACTCTGAGAGCAGCTATAAGCTTTCAAGTTGAGTGGTCTAGTTTTCTTTGGTTCTGACATTTTGCCAGCAGCTGTAGTTGACATCCTCAGAGGCAAGGTAAGCTGGTTTGTGGTGTACTTCTTGGCAGCCCAACAGGTAACTGAATTGGGTTGACTGAGATCCTGTATTTGTATTTGATTGATATGGACCAGCTTTGCTCAATTTAAATACAAGAGAACAAGGATTTCTTAAGTCATACACAATGGGAATTCTGGGAATTGCAATCTCAGGGTCTCAGAGATGCCAGATTAAAGAAGGCTGCTTTGTGCAGATATCACCAATCCAAAATGTGACCATTTTATGACCTTTGGATTCATAGTTTACATTTTTTGTCACTATAATATGTGCATATTACACACATACATGTCATTGAAGCAGGCATTATGAAAGCTTGTTATAAATAAATCTGTTGGTTTTAAAGTTATTACTAGACGTTGTTCATCATCAACATCATAATTTTAGCCATTGTCTATCCACTGCAGAATGAAGGCCTCTTCCACATGTTTCCAACTAATACCATCCTTGAGCTTTCTTTTGCCAACTGGGCCTGCAATACTTGCTGAGGATGTTATTTATACAATTGTTGGATATTTGGACTTAAAGTCAAGTCAGACTTTATTAGTACAATTCTGAACTGCTTGGATTACAGTTCAGTAAGCACAATTTAGACAAGAAACAAGACTTTAACTCATGGGTAAAGTATGTGGCTTTTAGTGCAGCAAGTATAAGAATCAATTCTTGGCACCATTTGTTAAAATGGAGATCTAGTACCAGGTGAATGTTGATGAGGAAAACAGCCTTGTTGAAAATCCTGCCACTGGCATAGATGAATTCCCTTCCATTACTGTATTGAATTCTGTTCCTCTCCTCCTTTTGTTCTGCTGGCACAAACCAAGCAGACTTTGGATACTTTGAAGCCTAATATTAGAAGTCACACTCAAAAAAAGACAGGATTGTTCCACACATATTCTCTTCTGTTTCACCAATGACCAGCCAATGAAAATGCACCTTGCCTAGAACTGCTACTTGCTATATGATCCTCCTGAAACCAATTTCATCTTGCATATTCTTCCTTAGGCAAAATGTTTGGGAACTGTGAAGAAAAAGTCAATTGTATTTCTTCACTGAAAGGAAAAAAAAACATCTTGGAGAAATTTCTCAAGATACAATCAATCAGATTGACCTGGAGAAGAAAAAACAATGGTCTTTATACTTAGAACAACACATTTAGATCTTCCATGATCTGTTGCAAGTTATTTAGAATGAAAGGGAATGTAGAAAGCCATGGGAACATAACGGCTTCGAAATATCTGGACCAGGCAGCAAATAGCCATGTTACTAAGTAGCTGTCCATCACAATCACTAGGCAACACAACAGTCAGAGAATGAGGAGGCTGTAAAAAAAATTTTCAGGAACGGAATGGCCCTGGAACATTTTAGCTCTAGAACACAACAACTATCAACATTTTTGCTGGAGATTGCAGTGGTTTTGAACTATTTGGAATGTGGGTCACAACATATGTGCAAAATTGTGGCTGTAGAGCACAATGGCAGGAGACATTATGGAAACAGCACAATATTACAAACTATAGTACAAAGAGTGACCAAGCCAAGGAAGCAAACTGGTACCACTACCCCACATTAGGAATATAATCTGAGGACCAGTGTCTATTCTTCCACATCTCACATTCAAATTGTGTAATTGTGGAATAAAATTGGACTTCTCTATATAGTTACCAGGAGCCAAGACTGAATCAAGGAATAATTTTTAAAATAAATTGTGCATCTATCTCAGATCTCCAGCGAACACCAAAAATCCAGAACATTTTACAGAAAGTGACTGAGTATTAACACTAATTTCAAGGAATAGTCACCTTGCTTCCTGATTTGTGTTTTCTTTCTTCTTTCTTTCTTTCTTTCTTTTTTTCTTTCTTTCTTTCTTTCTTTCTTTCTTTCTTTCTTTCTTTCTTTCTTTCTTTCTTTCTTTCTTTCTAGAATTCAACACAACCCTGGAGTGATTAAAAAAGAGAGTCATTTGGATATAAAATAAACTGTAAAACTGCTATAGAATATGTTTGAAAATCAATAATTATTGCCGCAAGTGATGGGATTACCCATGCTGATCTTTACTAGTTGAGTGCTCAAGAGGACATGTCACCAATCCTTTGCTGCAGCGCTGCAACTAGGAACCCTTCGGACCTGAGAGAGAAGAATAAAAGTGTGCTTTTATGCTGATTGGGCTGGCCACGAGTGATGACATTGCTACATTCCTTCTAGAACCAACAAATACAGGTGATATGCCAGCAAGCAGGAAAAAAACAACCAATTTTCCCAAGTGAAAAAATATTTTATTTAGAGACTCTTACCTAATGTACCAGGAGAAATAGGTTATCACATGCTAATGCAGGAAGATACTTTCTAGATTAGTGTATAGCTAACTAAGCATCTAGCTATGTAAGAACCCATTTCTATATAGAAATAAATGGTAATATTTAATAGTTCTAGTGGGGTATCTGGATGGGGCTACCAGCTTTAGTATGCCCTGCTCTCCTAATTTTTTTATTTTTTTGAATGATTACTGCAAAGAATGAAAATGTTCACCGCAATAATCCTCTCTTTTTACTCTATGCATTTTTAGGAGAACTGGGTCTTATAGGAGCTTTCCACATCTTCTCCAGTCAATGAGATCTGCTCTTTCTGAATCAACCAGTGTGCTATCCCAATGAGGGAAGGCTTGCACTAGATGAACTCCTGCAGGAATTGTCTTCCATGTCTCCACTGATGGCCCCTGCCAATTGGCCTTGCCTTCAGGAATAACATAAGAGAAGTAAGATTCTTTCAGCTTAATTCCATTTTGCATCAAGTAGCCTACCCCAGCAGGTATGAATTCAGCTTCCAGATCAAATGTAATTCCTCAATAAGAAAGCTAATAGGCTGAGCAAATGGATTCCTTGGTACAAGAGAAAGGATTGTTTTCAGGAAAGCCATATAGATCCTGCATAGATAGTTGACCATTAAATTCCAGGCAAGGCTCTCAAGGAATGTTGATTAATGCAAACACATAAAACAAGATCTAATATCAATAGCTGTGAATTTGTAGATTTCTTCTTTCTGAAATAAAACGTGGATTTCTATTTTCTGAAATAAAAATCCTTTCCAGAACCTAAAACACATGGAACATTGCCTTTAACAAGTAGCCCTTAACAAATTTAAAATTCCTAAGGAAGGAATCTTAAAAATACCTGGAGAGACAATTCAATCCATTCTTTCCATAGCCTTCAGGAAGTCTTCCAGGCATCAGTATTCTCCAAGTGTACCTTTGCTTTTTCTATCAGAACTTTCTTTGTTAATCACTGCAGTTTACATGGCATCCTTCATCCAATGATGTGGCAGCAGTTTACAAACAATCCTTATTAATGGGACTGTGCATCTCACCACTGCTTTGAAGTACATCTCATTAATCATGGAGTGACAGGTAAATGGAGGCAGCAGGATGAGACAGAGTGTAAAATGGCTTTCAGATGCCCAGGCATTTTGATGGAGTTGCCGTTTGCTTACTTAGTGTGCCAGCAGTATCTCATCTTGCATTCCACTATGTCCCTCCACTTCCTTTCTTCTATAAAATAGGCCTAGTGAAGTAAACTGTTATTTCTGTAAGAATTAAGAGGGAAAAAAACAGATAATTGGATGACATATTATTTCTCAAAGAGAAATAATGAAATACAGGAGGAGAAAATACATCAGAAGACTCAGACTGGATAAAGATCAGGACTTTGCTCCTGCCTTGTTTACTCATCTAGGAAAGTTGTATTCATAAGAACAACTCCCCGTTGGACCTCCAGTCTGAATGCATGGAAGATAATGCTGAGCAGCATTTGTAGTCAAACATATGCCTCAGCCATACTTGAAATACTGTATGTACGGTTGCAATGTCCAAGTCAGCAAAGCACTGGAAACTTCTCCTTCAATTGCAATGGATAAGACTTATTTTCTCTCTTTCCCCTTCAATTGCTTAAGAAGTGTCAAGCCACAACAGCTAGTTGGTGATATTTTACTTAAAGATTTCAGCATACAAAAATTTCTTTCTTTCTTTCTTTCTTTCTTTCTTTCTTTCTTTCTTTCTTTCTTTCCTTCCTTCCTTCCTTCCTTCCTTCCTTCCTTTCTTTCTTCTGTAGGACAGCACCCACCCACCCACCCACCTAGAGAAGGAAATATTTTGGGGGGATATTAAAAAAGCAGAATATTATATTTCCCAAAGGAATACAGTAATAGAGAAAAAAAATCTTAAAAGACAGAACCCAGCCCCCAGAAACCAGCCCCAGTCTCCCCCAAGCAGAAACTCAGAAGCCAGCTTTTACAAATGCAGATTTGATAACCCTGTTCAGAAAGGTTGGAGCCAGGAACCCAGAAGCTGATGCGATTAGAAAGACAAAGACCCCTAAAATCTACATATCCCACCCAAACTCTAAAGACATGACCTTTAGGACATAATAGGATTAACCCACCACTATCAAAATACCAAAAGGACAAACTCAAAAGCTCAGGTCAAAGTTCATGCCACAGGAACAGGAACTCCAAACACAAAGACCCAAGAAGGTATAAAAACCCACCATTCCCAGTTACATGTAGTCAGTTTTCCCAGAGTCACATTTCTGTCTGGCTCTGCTCTTCAATAAATTATAACCTTCTTTCTAAAGCAGTCTCCATTTTGTTTATTCCCGGCTTGGACTGGATCCTGATGAAGATTTTTCTTTCAACCCTTCCTTCCTTCCTTCCTTCCTTCCTTCCTTCCTTCCTTCCTTCCTTCCTTCCTTCCTTCCTTCAGTTTATATAACTGTACATCTCAAATACATGACTTTTGATGTCTAACAATGATTAACAGATAAAACATTATAATAAACCAATAAACATACACCACTGCAACATTAGGAAAAAATGGGGACAAATTATTTCTTTGGGAAATCAACTTCAGAGCTTCAATGCTGTAACTGAAAAGTTTCTGTTTTGCCTCTGCACAGATTGTTAGTATCCAGAAAAACAGTCTTTGAATCCTTCCCCGCTTTCCATCGGGATGTCTCTGGCAACCTTCTCCAACCAGGTACACTCCAAATGTGTTGTATATGAAGTCCCAGAATCCAAGGGTTAATGTTCCAACACCTGGGGAACACTGATCCATAAACTTTTAATGTGTGGTAAGTTGATATTGTATGGTGAATAATTTTATTCTCAGTTTAATTCACTTCACAAATGCATCCCAGACAACAATTAGCTTGTTTGTCAAGGTTAGTTTCTGGTGTGCATGTGAGCATTGTTAAAATGTATGAAGAGGGGAAACCAAGAACAAACACCCTGAAAAATTAAAAACTGTGGACAAAGTTCAGATCCAATGTTGTCTATCTATCATTTAGCAACTTAAATAATGGCACACTAGAGAAATCAAGTTCTGTAATACACTGGTTATATATTTATTTCATCATTGAGTATAATGTTTTTCAGATGGCTTCCAAAGTTGGATTTTGAAAGGAAGATTTCAAAATCATGGCTGACCTTCAGATATAGAACATTTCAGAAGCATCCCTGGGTGTGATTGGGTAGGAAAAATGCAAGATGAGTGGTAATAAGCCCATTGTCATGGTTCCGACAGATGAAACTCTTCAAAAGAACTTTGAGGCATTGTTTACCTTAAAGAATCTTTTATTCGAGAAACAAAGTATCGGCACTACATAGTTGAAACCAAAAACTAAATTCCCCTCCCCTGGACACAAAGTAACAAAGCACAATTCCCTTCTCCAATAAACAGTCATAAATCACATTCTCCAATTAGCTTGAAGCATGGGCTTTCTCCCCAGCTCTCCAGCACACCAAAACTCTATCAACTCTGGGCCCAATAACCTTGAATTCCCATGACTGAGTTATTATTGTTATAACTAGCTGGACTCTCATCCACATCCCCCCCCCCCCAGCATCAACTAACTCTAAAAGCAATAGAGGAAAATGGCTGCAATTCCATCTGTTGTCAAGCAGGAACATCCAATGTTAGCAGCATTGACACCTATGTTCTTGCAGATACAACATCATGCATAATATGATACACGTTTATGATCTAGTTATTCTGTAGAGCTATCTCATTTTGCTTGTGTAAGGGTGTGAAAATCATGCACAAATGTGTACATAATTTATATTTTGACATTCCACATTTTTCTTAGCCGAGTTCTGCTCCTTGACCCATCCATCGATCCACTGATCCAGCCAGCCAGCCAGCCCAAAACTGGGTATGATAAACCTACATAAGTATTCATACATCTTCATTTTTCTTTGTTTTACAGATTGAACTTGTCCCTGTTTATGATCATTTTGTATACAGCTTTCACAATTACATGCTGTTTTGTATATTCTTTCCTGAGGATAAATGCTGTTTTCTCCAAACTTCTGTGCAAAAGAATGATGGACAGCAGGAGTTCTGTTTGCTTCTACCATTTATTTCAGATAATCAATATAGCTTTTTTTCCTTCTTTCTGTTTTTGTTTTTGCTGCTTTCCTCAATCTGTAGTAAATTTCTTTTATATTCCTAACTTGTGCTGATGCTGCATCTCATAGCATCAATTTCTACATAATATTGTGGTGGGTGAGGGCAAGGGAACATATGACCTTGAGACTGATTTACATAAGATTTATTGTACGATAAACTTTGCTGGTTCTCTTTCTTTGCTACTTATGCAGGTGGCAATGTGGGACTCCTGTTCTCAATAGAAAACAAAATAACCAATAGTTCATAGGTCAGCCACCAAACAAGGTATTCAGTCCCATTCCTCTGGCAAAGACAACGTGAAGGTAATTGATTTTCACTGTTGTGTCTAATGATGGCTACCATCTAGGTTTACATGACAGGAGCTGAAATTAGTAGGCACCAGCTTCAGCAGCTGCTCGCAATCACTTGCCTGGTTCCACAGCCAATGTGAGATAGTTAATCAAAGAGAATATTCTAAGCTCTGCTATTTGGCATACTCCTCTTGTTTATTAATATGTCTCCTTGATCTCATTATTTCATTTAAAAGTAGAGGGAGCTATACTGCACTAAAATCAATGAATTGAATATATATTGTATAGAGATGGAGGAGGGGACCAAATTCATCCCTCGGGGCTGGAAGGAAAGGTTCAGTAAAAGTTGCCACCATCACATACAAAACAGGAGAAAAACACCCCCAGGGGAAACTTTTGTTTTGTTAAACACTTTACTCAATATGAGGGGGTCAGACTTGCAATATATCAGCAATATGTTTGCCCGCAGATTTTATTAACCTATTAAATCAGCAAGATAGAAAAACTGCTTTGCTCTCTTTAATTTAAAACAGTAAAACTAAATAATAAAATTGCAACTTCATAATCTAGCTTTATGTTAAGGGACATGGGTGTTTCATTCCACTTTAAGCATTAATCCTCTTGATATTAATGCAGTATTGTGTTTATAAACTTACATTTAAATCAGTGCTCTCCATTGGGATTGGTTGTCTGGGCAGGATAATGGGAGGATCCAAAATTCTGAGCCTGTTGAAGTCAAAAAGGGAGAAGATACAGAATGCCTGGGAAAACAAAAATGTATGAAAAGAGGGAGTTTAGTTTGCCATTCAGGTATCTATGATAATATCTCCTTAAATAGTTTTTTAGAATATGGTGGATCATCCTTCCCTTTCCAAACTCAGTCAGTTTATTTCAGTAGATGGAAAAGTGAAAGTGGTATTTTGTTCTTGCACTAAAAGACCTCCACCCTTATTATTTTGTAATAGGAAGGAAGGAAAGAAGGAAGGAAGGAAGGAAGGAAGGAAGGAGAAAAAAAGAGAAAGAGAAAGGAAGAAAGAAAGAAAGAAAGAAAGAAAGAAAGAAAGAAAGAAAGAAAGAAAGAAAGAAAGAAAGAAAGAAAGAAGCAAGGTGACTATTAGTGTTAATACTCAATCACTTTCTACAAGATACACTGGATTTTTCATGTTTACTGGAGATCTGAGATGCACAATTTATTTTTAAAATTATTCTTTGAGTCAGTCTTGACTCTTGGTGACTATATAAAGAAATCCAGTTTTACTTCACAACTACACAATTTGAGAGGGGGGGGGAAGGAAGGAAGGAAGGAAGAAAGAGAAAGAAAGAAAGAAAGAAAGAAAGAAAGAAAGAAAGAAAGAAAGAAAGAAAGAAAGAAAAGAGACTGTGTTTGTGAAACTAGGAGAAGGGGATGGATGAAATAATCTACTTGAAGGTGGAAATTATGAAAACATACAGAAAAAAAGATGCAAATGCAGAATGCAAGAAAGACTAAAAGGCATGTCAGGAAACATGACTTGGTGTCATTCAGATGGTTTTCTAGAAATCTGCAATGTATCAACTGGTTCAGTTCATAGGCCAGTATCGAATGGTGAAGAAAGAAGAGATAACATCTTATGGTACATTCTAAATAAATGGAGCCTGTAGAGGAAATATTATCCTATTGGGTATCACAAAAGGAAGGAAATAACACAAGGGATTTTGAAAAAGTGAAAAAGAGCCATTCAGAAACCAAGAATAGCAAGAACGGTTACAAAAAGTTATATTTGTTTAAAACATGTGATATAAGCAAGTCCATAAATAAGTAAACATGAGATAAGCATGAATCTAAAAGCACAATTGATTTATTTATGATGGTATACAATGATTATTGAGGGATAAAGTTTTTTCGGGGAGGTAATGGCAAAAGTGGGGAATTTATCTTGGGGGGGAGAAACAAAAGGCAAAGAAAAAAATATGTAGCATGAAAGTAAAAATATTGCAGGAAGACAAATACAAGGCATGTATAAAAACGTTTTGTTAAAAGGTAGATTAATTGCCTAACAGAATGAATGGAAAGTGAATGGACAGAAAGATGAGGTGAAAAATCTTAGAACAGAGTGCAAAAGTATTATGTTACATAGAAGTGTATTGAGCTGTGCAAATTAAAATGAATATGCGTGGAGGATAGAACATTTTGCATGAATATGATGTAGAACTGAAGATTGGTAGGCAAATGCAATAAAAATGCTACATGGTATAAAACAGTCATATAAATAAATCTTATTGGATAGTTCAGCAAAGATCAGGGAGTAAGCCAAGGAAATGAGATAAGTCATGTGTAGAGGAGCAGTACATGGGAGCACAGTGGCCTAGCGGTTAAAAGGCTGGACTTGTTGACTGGAAGCACTGACCAATGGGGTGAGCTCCCGTTACTTGCCCCAGCTCCTGCCAACCTAGTAGTTCAAAAGCATACAAATGCAAGTAGATAAATATACTTCGTTAGAAAGGCAAGAGCATGCCATGCACCTTGGTGTATAGTCATGCTGGCTGCATGGCCACGGAAGTGTCTTCAGACAACATTGGCTCCTTTAGCTAGGAAACAGAGATGAGCGCTGCCTCCTGGAATCAGACACCACTGGACAGGGGGAAACTTTATCTTTATCTTTTAGAGGAGCACTGATATGATCTTGGAGAAAATATGCAGCAACCTTTATTAAAGTACGAACGTAGCCCAGGAAAGCAAGGAGGCACAAAGAAGAAACCATAAATTACCTCACCTTGATAGCTTGACTCGCTTTGATATAAGATGAAGGGAAGAGGAAACATTTCAAGAGCCTATTCTTATAGCCTGTATCAATGAAGTTCTAGTATTCCTTGTTTCCTGACCTGGCCTATCTGAAAGGACTGATACTGTGGCTGCTTAATGCATTCATGGATATATCTACAGAAAATGATTGTTGTGACAATGCTGTTGTCTAGGTTGGGGATGTGGGGATGTGTAATTTGTATGCAGATCATGTCATTTGTTGGCTGATAACTCAAATGATTTGCAATGAATATTACATGCAATGAGCAATAAGAATTTGAAAGGTAATATGTCAAAGACCCAGTTTAACAGGGAAAATAGAATGACGAAAGATAAAGTATGTCAACATAGTAAAATATTAGAACAGGAGATGAATATTTGTATCTTGGTAGAATGTTTACCAAAAATGGATACATTTTAAAGATGTGCAGATGCTGATAAAAAGATAGTGGGTGGTCAGCTGAAGGAATAAATGTTTGCCCAAAGAAATGAAAATTGCTGTAGATAAAGATGTGCTTCCGCCTATTTTGTT